GTACCTGCAGCAGCCAAAAACTCATCAGATAGAAATGTCGCAAGGCAACATGTTCTGACTACCAAAAACATTGGCGCTTTTGTTGAGTTTTATGATGTTTCATGCCTAGGAGGTGACTAGTTGATTGGGATTACACAAACACATACAGTATATATATATAAAGCCACACATATAATTTTACACATAATTATAAATAATTTTGACACCGAATTATAAAAAATATTAACAATAATCAAAAACATAATCATAATAATTCATATCTAATTATATACATCTAAAAAAAAAAATATATATACAATGCAGCAGTCTTCATCACTTTGGGATCGCAGGATCCAGGGATCTTCATCAGGGCACGCGAAGAGCAGCTGAACAATCTCGCGGATGACGTTGTTCAAACCAGGGCCTTGTGTCGGTTTGGGTCATCCAAATGGGTCCACGGTAGTGATGGCGCCGACTTTTGGCATCTAGGCGATTCCAATAAAAATGAGCTGCTGTTGAGACTGCTTCAATGCCACTGCCACAAAGTGGTAGACGATCCGGGCTTTCATGACAAGCCTACCCCAGATTGATAAACTCGGTTGATTCATTAAAGGTCTTACTCCCACTAAGAGCATTGCAAACTACCATTGAATTGCGTACCCCGTTAGTTAAACTGGTGGTTTATTCTGGGTTAACATGGACTTATGAATCATAGAAACCTAAGGATGCCCCAAAAAGGTCACCCCCACAACAATTAAGGCCTTGTTGAAGGGTTAACCACTGTCAACCCATGTCAACCCACCACCAGCGGCTTACTAAGCCACTATTGTGTGGGGAGTTGGCATAAACGTTTAACTGAAAATAGCAGACCCCCAAATTTCATGGTGCGTCGTCAAGTTTCCCATGGAAATACTCATTTGGAGGTATTTACCATTGTCAGACACACCCTAATATCATATTCCTTGATTTTTCATCCCATGCTATCCAATTACATGTTCCATTATCATCATTTATTATCCAATGATATCCCATATCTCCAATAAATTTCCATACAACCCAGAGATAAAGTGTTTTTTCTGTAAATATTTTAGTATACAGTAATTGCAACACTATTCCCAAATAAACACCCATAAAAATTCAACCCATCGAACACCACTTGGAACGGCTCTGAACTATATAAACGACTGCGAACCACCTCGAGACCTGAGCTTCCAACATAGACCACCGCAGGTGACGATGGCAGCAGCGGCCTGGCAGTCTTAATTGTGATAATCTTGATGAAGAACGCATGAGTATGAAGTAGATGAGTAATGATTAATGATTATACAACTTATATAACATTCTTCAATTGGGGGGTGGTAACTGATGGATGGGTTTTAGCCAATGGATGGTTACTGCATTGTATTCTTTAATTGGGGGGTTGATTCTTCACTGAGATGACAACAGATAGATGGGGGGTTGATGACAAGTGCTGTGGGGTATTCTTCAATTCTTCTAATTCTAAAATATCATTTGGCGATTGTTGTTTTTGTGTTGAAGTATGTTTAAGTAATATACCGGTTTGAGTTCTTGAATTATTCTCTCTGTATTTCTTTGTAACCAAACAAGTCCCACATTGTGATCCCGTAATCACCAATCAACCGAGTTTGAGGCAGTATCAAAGGGTTATCACTCACCCTAGGTCTACCATCGGTTGGATGATGATTGCATGTGACATTCTCTCAACAAAATCACCCCCAAAAACAAAACAAATACCACGGTGTCTATCCTCATTCTCCTCGTAAAACTTTACACTGTGACACCAGCTCCACAAACAAAAACCTACTCGCAATGGACGGCCAAAGTGGGTGATCCCCTATCGGTTTTGAGGGTTTTCACACAAATTTGAACATGCCAAGTTGACTCCGTACTACTTTAGTCTTCCGCTCATTTTGTCGCTTGCTCTTATGTGCATAGGGATATGTGACAATCTTTATCTGTCTATCCTATCCTTCAATCTTTCCATCTTTTTTCATTTTGCAGTATCTTTTTATCTCTTTATATCTCTCCATCTCTCCACCAATCCACCCACCCATCCATCCATTCACCCATCTATCCATACCATTGCATTTCCCAGGTGGGGAACATGCTCCGACCCTGACAAACTTGCCAGATCGTCATTTGGCTCGTTGGTGTCAAAGTGCAAAGTCTGCGAGGGGCCCACGCGCCGAAACCTCATCGAACGAAATCCTCCATTTTCCATCTGTGTTAGTTTACTGGAGGCTACTTCATACATCTGTTTGTTCTGTTTCCGAAATTACGGCACATACAAATACATACAGTAGATCAGTAGTATATATACATATTGTATGATATTGTCATATTGTCCTGTACGTACAGTACACCATATGCAACGTGGTCAAAACATGTTTTTTTGTGGCTGATATGCTCATCCCGCCGAATGGAATGGGATTCCTCCTGCTAGGTGTACGTACATGACTGGACTGAGAACCACCCCCTTTCATGTGAAAACAAACCATATGACATGAGCGTTGTTCAAAATCCAGTGTCCTTCCTTTATAACTATCCTGGTTGGTTAAGAGCAGGGTTTCCCCGCATGGATTGTGATTCTCCTCAAAAATGGTTCGTGTAATCCCCGAACTCATCAACCAAGAGGGGTTTTGACCATGGCCCATATCTTTTGCCATCAAAGAGGCTGCAAATAGTTCCTTGCAGCATTGTCCGTGGAGCCACCTCGCTCAAAGGACCTGTGAAACCAGGGTTTTCCATGAAAAACTAGGAGTTCCAGGAAAACTTCCCACAAGCATATGCATGTATATAATATACGCCATTCACGCAACATAACAAAACAACATCCATTCCAGCATGGGTCAGAATCTTGCTATATCAGCATCAGCCTCTTCACACGACAGTCTAGGAGTTCTTGGTTGTTTGACCATTCTTCAATCTTTTGAGTCCAAATTCAAGAAGGAACGACATCATCGAACTGACTAGCAGCAGCCAGACACACACATCATATAATTCATCTACATGTGATTACGTGTGTAGGTCTTATTACGGATCAGCAGAATTTCTTTCGAAACCATACCCTCTGGTAAACCATGGTAAACCAACATAGCGAACATGGTCCAGTTATAGTTGATTCACCCATTGAAGATGGTGATTTTCCACAGCTATGGTAGTTTACCAGATGGTATATCCCATTAATATCCCATTGAATCACACAATATAATCCCATGAAAAATCACTATAAATCCCATTCAAATACCATTAATATCCCATTAATATCCCATTCATTTCCCATATAAAATAGAGATCTTCCATAGTGGATGACCTCCATGACATCAGTCTCAGGTCGCAGCTGGGTCGTCCACCAATCATCTCTTAAGAACAAGGAGCCATGCCTCGAAGCATCGAAACCCAAAGTGATGGCTGATGCGGCCATATCCCCAGTCATACATGTTATACATGTTACAATGTTACACGTGATTTATAGACCATTTAGGTCTCGGGGATATTATTGCACCTGTAGCTTCAATATCTTTTTTTTTGGTTTTCTCTACAACATCCGCGTCAATTCCGAGGCTTACGGTCGCCTGGGGCCCATCAAAGATGTGGGCCCGATCTCTGGGAATATCTGGGTCCCAGTTAACCATATGCATATGATATATCCCATACATAAACCAAAAAAAATAGACATTGTTAGATAGCCGCGCTTTTTCAAATAATATATATATATACATATCCCATTATAATCATATATATTATATGACATGATATGATATGTATATAATATATGGCGCTGGCCAACTTCGTCAGTGGGACAAGTGCCGCCGCTCTTAGACCCCTGACGACTGATCCGCCAAAGAACCTGCGGAGGGGACCAGGATGGACCAGGTATGGGAGATCAAGGGGTTGAACCAAACAAACACAGGGATCAGAATGCACACATTTGGGAATATATGTTGATATAATTTGATATCATGTAATGGGATATACCTATATATATATATAATCATTATATATATATATGCATAAGCAAGAATTTGGGTTGGTCTCAACATGGGGAAGAACCCACCCGAGTTTGTAGCACTTTCCATGGGGAAAATGATAGAAACCATGATGAATAACATGGGATTTCGGGCTTCCAACATGTTCCAACTTTTGACACAGCTCCAAATGGTGGATGGTTCAGCTGGAAAACCAAGGTGTTCGACTCGGCTCAATGTCAGCTCAAGTGCCCCAAGGCTTGTGATAAAATATTGGGAAATGCTGGTTGGAAGGCACCAGTACGAAGCCACCTGTCCGCCTCCCCGTGTTGGCCTTTTAATTGGCTTTCCATTTTCTTCGATGGGAACTTGTCCCCGAGATTGACACCTTGGTTCAGCGTTGTGCTGATGCCATCGTTTCATGTTGGGATCATGTTGGGCTTCTTTTCCTCGCTGCCAAGCCACACTGCAGGCGACTGATGGTGGAATTTGCCGGCAAAATCTCTGCCAATGCCTCATCTGTTCCAGTTGGATGGATCAAGCCATGATAAGCCGTGGAAATTTAGCGTCTACAGTATCTTGTTTAGTTTTCATTTCGATCCATAGCCGAAGTTCCCGAAGGTCAGGGGATACAAATTTCGCAAACGACCCAGCTGGGCTTGAGGCCAGAGGCGTCGAGATCTTCTTCAAGTAATCTGAGAGGCCACAGGATGCTGTGGGAGGTCCCATACAACCCAACTGGCAGATGGATTCTAGCCTCCAGTGTCCTCAAGCATGTCTGGAATATCCGCGATAAATGGGAATGTACTGTAAATGGGAAATATGGGAACATCATCTATAAACGAAGAATTTTGCATTGCAATGTTTGATTACTCCAGGGTACATGTGGATGCACTTCATACATGGGTTGGTGATGTCTAAGGCAAATGCATTCATAACCTAGATGATAAAGTATATAACTGTGGTGTGGGTAAAGTGTGGGCGTGAAAGGCAAGGAATGCTATGTGCAACAGGACAAACTCGCTCTATCCGCTACAGCCACAGCCTCCCCTTGCGAACCCCCGGCTTGGGCTCCGCGCCATCTTTGGGCATGGGTGGATACTTGAAACCTGGCATCATAGAGCCGAAGTTCCCTGGTACCACAGCTGGTGATGGAAAAACCGAAGGTAAGTATAGTATTCAGTTCTCGCCCTCCCCATTGAAATTCCAAAAAATTGAAATTTCCTGGTATCTTGGACGCCTTCATGACTCCTAGACAACTCCACCTACCCGCAAAAAATCAACTTCAAATATCACTTGGCCAAAAATCCACGCTCCCCAAAAAAACGAATCGGTCACGAGAAAAAACACATTTGTACCCCCTTGTAAACTAACAGTATGGAAAATCACCATTTTTAATGGGTAAATCAATGAGCTAAATGGGCCATTTTCAATGGCAAACCATGGTTACCTCCTACCTGCGGGCTCGAAGCGTGGCTGCCCCGTGGTGAAGGCCATGCGGCCGAACCAGCGGCCCAAGGGGTTCACCCGCTTGGCGTGGGTCACACCTAGGGATTTTGGGCAGCAAACATGGTGAAATCCACGTTGTTTGTTTTAAAACATATTAAAAATAACGTGTTTAAGACGTGCTAACTGTGGTTTTTGGGATAATGTGAGTAAAACAATAATGAATAGGTGGTATAAACCATTCCCAAATGGGTGGTTTATTACTGGTTTACCCACATTATTGCTGAAATGTGATGGTGTGACATATGTGGTCAGCACCTTCTTGAGCTAGTAAGTATAGGTTCTGAGGGGGGCGGTGACCACAAACGCGCATGGACACATGTTTTTTTTTGGGTGTGTGTGTGTGCATGCCTGCGTGCTTGCGTGCACTTTTATGATCTTTTATGTGTATATCAGCATATTTACCTGTATAGGTGCATGTACCGATTTCAGTCTTATATGTAATTACGTAATTACCTGGGTACTTCAGGTGTCAGGTGATAGAGAACCTGTAGATTCACCCCTAAAATCGGCGGATGGGGATCTCAAATAGCTGGGACATTTTCAAAAAATCACGGCTTCTCGTTGCAACAGTGGGTTTGTGTCAGGCTATGTTGAAATCTTCAGATCCACTTATGGACCCTTTTGGGAAGATCTGATCACCTTGGAAATTGAGATTTGTCGACCCCCAAGGATGTCTACATATTTGAAATGGCAATCTTGAGGTTCCATCAGTCCATGTTCAATTTCGGCTGCGTGGCCCTGCCTTTTTTATGATCTTTTTTGACCCTGAACTGGCCATGCTGCTGTCGATACCATAGGCCATAGGCTATCCACTTGGCATTTATGTCCACCCTGGATACCCCCACACCTTTGAATTGGGTGATAGGCATTTCGTCTATTTACCCAGAAAATCAGGAGGATACCTAGGACACCTTCATTCATCAGCCGGGGTTTATGATGACTGCGGCTGAATATTTACCCTCTGGTAATTTAACATAGCTATTGAAAATCACCATTTTTAATGGGAAAATCCACTATTAATGGTCATTTTCAATAGCTATTTTGACATAACCAGAGGGTAAGTATTTTCAAGTCAACTGAGAGCCTGACATGCGTGGATTGGGATATACACTGTCTTGCTGTACATCCGCACCTAAAGGCAGCAAGGCATCCCGTGCAATCCTTCTGACCAAGTCATCCTGCCATTGGATCACTGACCAAGTCAAACATAATATTATATATATATTTTTTTTTCGCATAAATAGATGGATAGATATATATATATAGATAGATAGACACACACACATATATATATATAATTACATACGTATATATATATATGTTTATATATATATGTAAATGTACTCTATATAATCATGGATTCCCCAGAGCAGCCGGAACTGCATTCCAGGATTTGTGGAAAACATTGAGGCACTTACCAAGTAACAACAGTTGCTGGCCCCTAGGAATTGCATGTTCTGTTGGCTAATACGTTTCGTTTTGGTGGTTCATGTTTCAAATGCTAGCTTATTTGGAAGCGGTTATACATTTAAATCAACCCTGTGTTGACACTGTTTTATATAACCCATATAAACCAATTAGATAAAATGAGGGCGATTCTCGTCACAGCAGTGTCTTGACAGAGCTATATCAGCAACAAAGTTAACCACCACTATGATAGTCACTATAGCTTACTTCCCAAAGATAAACCATTATATTATATAATATCATATGCCAAAATGCTGTTTTAATAGTACCAAGCTACTCATCGCACACTTATTTTGACAGTGCCCAATCCCACCTGGTCGTAAAAATCAACTTATAATCAAGCCCTAACTGGCTCACAACAGCTTCTATTAATCACCCTACATCACCGTATCATTGTCGCCTAGATTCGCCCAGTAAGCCTATATACTAAGTGAACATGCCTTGTTGCTGGTGATCATAGAGCTAAGATTGGGATATAACCATCAAATATTGGGATGTAATAGGATGATCAGCTAATGGGGTCGTTCATGTTTATTTATTACTACTATCTCACTATAATTGTAGCTACTATGAACTCTATATAACTAATCAGTATAACTATTATTGTAAAATTATTGACTGTTGTTTTTATTCGTAACAATAATGGTTACACATCCTATACATTAATAACAGGGGATTATTCTCCCAGCTATAAACCTGCATTTACAAGGGATTTTCAATTGAGTTTACATTGCTATGTTTGATCACCAAAGGGTAGTCCCTGATAATAACAATGCTAATCATGGATTACCATTACTATTAATTACTGCTAATATGGATTTCTGTATATTACTAATAAATACGAATAATTCTTATTAGTATTCTTATTTGTCAATAATATAGTTACTATTTATTACTAGTTATTGAAAATAAGGCTTACTTTAGCTAGTACTATTGGGAACAACACTTGAAGTCATTGTACCGTGGCTAAAACAACTATTCTTACCAATCGTATTTCAAACATCTAAGTCTAAAACTAGTAACAATGGGATTCTTTTTACTATGCCTAGTGAAAAAATATAAACACCATTAATTAGTAACAATAGTTATCAGCACTGGAAACCAATAGTAACCATCTATTCATGGTTTATTAAAAAATGAAAATAATGTTTCTAATTTCAGTGTAGTACTTAACCACTATATGATTAGTATTTAATGAGTAATCCCCACTATGAATCACTACCAGTACTAATCCCCCACTGGCTGTCACCACTGAGCTTCCGCGCCACCGAGACGCACGTGAGCCCTGCCATGGCACCGTGCACCGCGTGCTCCGCCAAGGCGCTGGCGTAGGCGCTGTCGTAGGCGTTGGCCTTCACCGAACGTACCTGGGGCGTGGATTTTTCCAATGGCTGGGTGGAGGATCATGTAATATCTATGAGATCCTTATGAGATGGTAAAAAACATATACATATGATTATACGTGGGATTGTACGATTGTATATCCACTATGGATTTCCATGGATTTCCCAGTTAGGAATATAATACGCAAATGAATATCGTATAGTATGATGGGATTGTAAATGGTAGAATCATGGGATATATATATATATAAATAATATGTATTGATCAATGGATACAGCTTGTAAGTGGCTAAAAACTGGGGTTATAACCCACAAACAGATGGGATATTTCCACTTAGGACTAAAATGGACTAACCACGGTTACTAACCATTTACCAAGTGGGATGATCGTCTAAGTGGGGAAGTTCACACCAAAACTGGGACCACACTAAGGAAAATGATGGGAAGCACGCGAAAATCAAGGCTTTCATTGAGAAAAACAGTTTTGTTTTGGTGAACACAATGGATATGACCAATGAACATGGGAGTTTCATCGGCCACACATGGTTAATGGCTGGGACACATGCATAACTCGCATCACAACTGGGATAGATGGGCCATGGGATACACCCCAGGTACTAACATGTACCCATAAGCCAAATGCAACCATATGAAACCCAGGGATCATCCTAAAAGCAAGAAAGCGAGGATGACACCAACATCGGGGAACATTGAAGAACAACTGATGATGTATAGAACCATGCGACACGGGGGTAAACATGGTTTACGGAACAAAAACATGCAAACATGGTGATACAACCAATGGCAATGGGGAAAACTGAGTTGCATTCCAAAGAAAATCCTCAGGAAACCCATCGGTTTCAGCATCCAAACCTATGGGGTAGATGATGCACCCGGGGATCCTACGAACTTGGGATCACGACGAGGGACATGGGTAAAACTTGAGGGGAAACGGAACAGGAACAACCATGACAACAGCCATCACCATTTCAGCACCAAAAATAAGTGATCTCTAGTCCTTCTTAATCTTCTTACACATCTCGAGCTGCACGAAACTCAGGTGCCCGCCATGTATGTGGGGTCGATATATTTGATCCTCAGGACATCAGGGGCATCAATGCCACGGCAGCCATCGGTTTGGTTTCAACCCCATGGCACTAACTACGAGATGCAACGCTGACTGAAACTATGACATGGATTGAAATAGTAATTCCATCCCCCGAATATGAAACACTCCCTTCGGTGGCCCCAAATATGTTATTTGGCATCCCCTAGTCGCTAGGGTGTGTTTTATATTTATCATTTTGGGGGTGGATGGGTTGAACATAGCTGAAGTATATTGAAGTATATGCAGGTTTCGTGGGTCGTGAGCTTTTGGACACCCACATCTTGAGGCCACGGCGTCAGTGGTTTGCCCTTCTCCTGCGTGATCGATCTTGGACTTTTGATGAGGTTTATATACTTTTGTGCGTCTTATCCCTCCATTCCTCTCTGGGATTTCTAACTTGTCCGCATCTTTCTCAAACGTTGTGTTCATTCCCGTTTGCATGATGCTGCATTGCCCCATCTTTGACAAATTTCTGTTCTGCTGATTTTTGCTGGCTGTTGCTTGCCGGCCACATGATTTCTTTTTTGAACATATTTCACCTCTGCACCTCTGTTAGTTCAACTTAGGGTACCCCAACGTCTCCAATTTTTTTCTCGGTGTTTTCAATGCCAATGGAACAAGTATACTCGCCGATGGTGATTAATTATCATACATACACACAGATATATATATACACTCTCATCAGGACAAAAAGGAATCCAATAAAAACATTTTCCAAACATTCCGAAGCAGTTCTTGGTGATCACTCTCTGACCGCCCGGTCCTTGAAACGGGCCAACACCTGGTCCCGCAGCCACGGGCCCACGTCGCCTCGCAGCGGAGTTGATGACTGGGATGAGATACGAAATGCCGCAAAGTCTGGGGAGAATGATGGGGACATGATGGGGAAAGGGAAATGATGGGAAATGGATGGAACATATTAGAGATCAACTATCTCTTCGAAGATGTGAGATATAACCTGCCGTGTAACCAATCATTTTCTGCAAAAGACATGTTTCGATTGTACAGGGAGTACATGCAAATCTAGGCTATGAATCTTTATGATGGGACTAATTGCTTCAATTTTGGCACACCTTCCATGACCTGGCAATCTCGCGTACATCATACTGATACTCTTAGACCACCCCAGGTCAAGATTAGGATTTGCGACTGCCACTTCTGCATGGCATCTGATCATCCGTGACGGGGATCCTGGCCCTTCATAAAGATTTATCCCCCCTAATGATGGACAGAAAGATCAAGAATTTCTAGTAGATCTAATCATTTTGGGCACCCATACGTATATGAACAACAGGATATTTCTTGGGGGGTATCACTGATGACAGGTTCTGTTTTGTTGAATCATGTTGAACCTCAATTCGTAGCTCTGGCTCCGCGTTTCATAGTCCTTCCCAACTTTATCCAACTTTTTTTTCGTCAATATCAACCAATGATTGTCCCAACTCTGCCCCACTATAGCCCAGCATCACCCCATTAATCCCATTCCCCCTATTAAACGCCCATTCTATGGTCCCAAGTGTGTGGAAATCCCCTATGAAACCATGGCGACTCTGGGACCTATCCGGCACCTTCCATGGCCATACCGTACTGGCTGAGGGATTGCTTGGCGCCATCTGCCACCTGAGCCCAGTTGGACCCTGAAAATAACGCCCCGACCCATGGCAGGGACTATATATATATATACAGTATATCAATTTGCTGAACGGTAAATTCGAAATCTATGGCAATGTATGGGTTAAATTCGAAAGCTATAGGATTCAAAAAAGTGTCCTGTGATTCTTTTCCTTTGACCTCAGTACTGAGATCAGGCTTTAATTTGGGATAGTTAGCCTCTGGTAACACTTTGCTATGGAAAGTCCCGTCCCCAGTTTTAATTAATGTTTGAATAGGTAAATCATCGAACTGGGCCATTATATATATATAATTATATATATAGCAAATCGTTACAATAAAATAGGTCGTCATTAGTCACAGCCAAAATAACTACTGTACCAACCGCAATTTGCAGCGCCAAAAAACAACACAACATCAGACCTGGATGGAGTAGCAGGCCTGGTCCTCTTTCCGCCAGCCAAAACAGCGATTTTCATGGTCAAAAAATACTGTGGTTTCCAAAGTCATCCAGGATTTCAAAAATATGCGCATCAATATCTGTATCCACCGCTATCATCCCCCAATATTCACCTATATTCCGCTATCCATCTTTATCCACCTTTATCCATCCTGATTGATCTTTATCCATCTCTGTCTATCTATCTGAATCTGTCTATCTATATCTCCCTCTCCATCCGACTCTATCTATCGCTCTATCTACGTCTCTCTCTCTCTCTCTCGCGCTCTATCCATCTATCTGTCAATCTATCAATCCATCGATCCATGAATCAATTTAATCCATCGATCCATCCATCCATCCATCGATGCATCTATCTCAGTATCTCTCCATCTATCTATCTCTGTATAACTATCCATCTACCTCTCCATCCATTTCATCCATCAATTTCTCTGCCTGTGTATTTCTCTAATCTCACCCAACCCAACCAATTGGTAGGCAGAATTTCAATTGTATTTACAAGACGTAGCTGATCCCCTGAATTCCCCACTGGGGATCCCTGGCCACGATCACGGCATAGCCCTTGCTGCTCATGACCTCTTCACAGTGCAGCAAGACTTTCTCCAGGTCAATTTCCATTTCGGGCAACAGACCTGCTGGATGGCTTGAGCCGTGGCGGGTCAGGTGGTGCAGGTTGTCCAACGGTTTCTCGCTGGATCAATAGGGTGTCATCCTTCAGGTTGGGGGACCGCAGCTAGTGATAGCTAGTGATGTCTATATAAACTTAATTAAACTATTATAAACTATAAACCATCCGATTTCATCCGATTTCGATGAATTTTGGGCTGCTTTTCTAGCCAGGTCCAGCATGGAGCTGGGGAGACCCGACAGATATCCACATTGCGGGCAGCCATGGTCGCGTTCATCGCCAGGAAGCCACTGTTGGCGCCCAGCAACTTGACCTTGTCAAATGGCAGGACGATGATGGAACATGGAGATGATAGATGATTGGTGAATATTGGTGATATGGCTATTATATGGCTATTATATGCCATTATGGTTTCATATGGTTTCTTGTTATGATCATTTACTTATTGATATGGCTGTGATGATGATGATGATGATGATGATGATGATGATGTATTCATTTTCCAACGGGACGATGCCCCAGGCCCCCGCGCCATGCCAATACAGTTGGCGTTGCAGGTGGCTTCCACATAGGCTGCGCTGATGCAGTCCCGAGCCTGGCGAAGCGTTCAGAAGACACCCTGGGACCCAATGGACATCCATGGACAATCCCTAATAGATAGGTATCTGCTATCGATTTATTGTTGTTGTTATCGATTTATGATTGCTACTATTGTTATTGTTACAATTATTGCTATTATCCTTATTGTTGTTGCTATTGTCACTATTGTTCCAATGGCTTTACATAAATGCACACACGCACACACACACACATATATAATACAATATAATCATATATATATATTATTACTATTACTATTATTACTATTGTTATTATTATTATTATTATATATTATAAATCTATATAATATACGGGAAAGACATGGGAGAATGATGCTGTAGGTCAATGCGAAATGATTTTCAACACACTCGCACAAACCCATCGATCCATCCGTCCATCCATACTACCCTCTGGTTATGTCAAAATAGCTATGGAAAATCACCATTTTTAATGGGAAAACTCACTATAAATGGCCATTTTCAATAGCTATGTTAAATTACCAGAGGGTACCTACTTTGTGACATAACTTACACCACGACATTGGCCGAGGTCATCAACGATAAGCACCCCTTGCAATTTTGGCACTCTTGACAACCAGATTTCGATCTCAAAGTTGGCATTCGCAGGTGAAACAAAATTAGAGCACCTGTACAAAATCTGTCCCTGAGAATCTGTGCAGCTTCACTGGAAACGTCGCTGGGCATCGTACGGGGCATGCTGTGGGCCGTTCGAGTGGCCATTCCGGCCATTCCGAAACTCATCGGCAGGGAATTCCTGGGCCTTTGCCTTGCAAATAGCCTGGAGATCCTGATCTGCACCTGTCTCGGCCACTTCCTTTCGACACTTGGCTTCGCTGAAGATGTGACGATGGCAGGCTGACCATTTGGCAAAACAAGCACTACACTTGGGGCAGGCATAGTTTGTCACTGCCAGGGAAGCCAAAGTTGCCTCACAAAACTTCGGAGCGTCTAAAGGGATCTGCTCTGAAGCTGAACCCTTTGGATCCTGATCAGTGGCTCCTGTGCCATTCGAAGCTGCATCCCCAAAACCTTCCACTTCCTGAAGGCCCCAAGGCGTGATATCCCTTGCTTCCTCTGGAACTGAAAGGCCTGCTGCAGTGCCATCCCAACGCACCGACCCGTCCCAAGAGCGATGGTCACGTTCCCACGTCCGATCCATGTGATAGTTCTCCCTGCTCCCATGGTCAGACTGCCAGCACTGATCTTTCGGAGATCCCCCAAACCATGCGCTGGAATTGCCATTCCACCTAGGTTTGTCATAGAGATCACCTCCGCCATACCACTTCTCTTGGTACTGCCATTGGCCCTTGCCACCTGCGTCACCTTGAGCTTGATGAGTTTCGGAGCTCCTCCATCCGTGATACGCCTCACGCCAGGGCTGAAAAACCTCCGATGTGGGCAAGCGAGTTCCATACTCATCAAAGGTTCTGGGCACACCTGTAAGAACCACTGTGGTCTTGTACCCATCACCGTGCCAAGCGCCCTTGCCGTGCGCATTGCGGACTCTTTGGCTCATCTCTCGTCACGTTGGACGTTTGACAACACGGATTGGTGTTGGACGGGGGTTGTCAAAGTCGATGGCCGATGCCTGATTTTCAAAGACTGACGTTTGTAGATGGACAAGTTTGAGCCCATCGATTGCTCGAGAGACCAATGACAATGCCTCAAACCACCAACGCTCAACCAACTGTCCGCTATCTTTCCCTTCCACCTTCCACGCCGAACGACCATGTATGATTTTTGGCCTTATGATTGTGTTCTGGAGGGGAGGGTGCAAATAGCCGATATAATTAATCATATACTAAAATAATGAATATTAGTGAATTCGGTTGGAATCGTTCTGATTTGCCCCTGTTGGTTTTTCCATGGTGTGAACCCCTATGCCCTATTCAATTCAGTTACGAGTCACCGCCAAATACTGTGGAAGCAAGCGGACTGATTCGTTATGGCCCAGCATGAACCATGTGGATCAAAGGCTCGACTTATGATGGAGACACTGTGGGAACATGTGGGAACTTGGAAACGGTGCTTCTTATCATCAATTATTAGTGAGCTTTCTGCAAAACTCTCCCTGGTCAGCCATTTGACCACCTTAAATCTCAGAGTCTCCCTTGTGCCCTGCGCAAAGAAAACATCCATTTGCATATCCATTTGCTGCCCCAAAGAGAAGTATGGAACCATCAATGGAACCATCAATGGATTGGTTTAAGGGAAAATCTTAACCGGAAACCATGGTTTTTACCATCAAAATTTAGGGTTTTCCTGTAAATTTTCCCATCATCCAATTCCATGAATCAAATTTGGTGAATTCTTCCAGGCTATAGTTCTCCGCTCCATGCCTCGGTGCATGCGGTGTCAAAGCCGAAGCTGGTGTCGACCATCATCAGGTCGTTGTCCACGGTGCAGGGCACGGCCACCTGGACACAGGACGAAAAAAACACGGCAGGAAATATGATAAAATATCATAAACATGTTAAACATATGGCTAATAAACATCTGGCTAGAGATAATGCTAGATATGGATTTGGATGAACAATCTGGCTGGATATGGCTGGATAGTGATAGATGATATGGATCATGATAGATGATGATAGATAAATGTATGGATGGACGAAAGTTGGAAAGCTGACAATGGACATGGAATTGCCAAAAAAACATTGAATGCCCGCATTTTCGTTTCCTGGAAAATCATTCCACAAACGGTGCAGTTTCCCTTTCCGGGTTTTGTGTTGTGGGCGCTGAAATGATACCTTTGCGACATGGGCCTTGCCCGCAGTTTCCATGGCTGAACGGTTCACACTGGAAAACTTGCATTCATCATTCAACCAACTATATTTGTGAGAAATAAGCGAACACTGGGGGTACTATTGCAAATGAAACCACTTTTTGCGGGTGGGCCCCCCAAAGAACCCTACAGACAATTTTAAGTGGAAAACCATTGGTTTTTTCGGTATCTATGTTGATCGAGTCGAGAGGAAAGTCGCCTGGGTTTTTGATCCGGGGTTTGGTTTTTGTCCCTGAGAACCGCGCCAATGAACATTCATGATCGATCGACTTCAAGACCTCAGCAGAACATCAGCCTGTTGGGTCCACCACCAAAATGGGGGACGTCCCATTTCATTACAATTTTCATGGGAAAACATGGGAAAACTCTGATGAATCACTGGACTTTGGATGATTTTGGGGTATCCGAATTCTCCAATTTTCAATCCAAGCCCAGTTGGAATGTGGCCGCATGACCTCAAGATTCCACCATATGAAACACCCCGCTTTTTGAGCTGCCCACCGAGGCCAATTGCAGGGCGCCCTTGTGAGCGCCATCGCCACCAAGGATAAAGAACTGCTTGCAATTGCGCCTGGGCATAGCCCAAGGGGCCAATGTGCAGTGCGGCATATGTGCAGCTGAAATAGCTTGGAATATATACTGGTTGGTGGTTTCAACCCCTCTGAAAAATATGAAAGTCAGTTGGGATGATTAGTCCCAATATATGGAAAAATAAAAGTCATGTTCCAAACCACCAACCAGTATAGTTGACATATGTTGAGGTGGATGTCTTCACCGGAGTCCCCTCTTGGAAACGTGAACGTCTGGAACGTTTTTTTAAGCCCAGAACTGGAAGAGCATCTGGGCCATGTCTGCATGCCGCGCCTCGGACATGCACAGATCTTCATACTTCAAATTCATTTGCAATTCTGCTAGAAACTCAACAGGTAAACCTGAATAATCATGCCATGTCGAGGCTTGCATGGTTTTACATGCTTCAAAATCATGCCATGAAATCTGATTGCAGCAAATTTCTTGAGCCACATTCTGGAATCTATTGCAAATTTGGTCAACGAGCTACATAGTCTCCCACTAAAGTATGCAGGTGCACATATCCAATTGCTCACCTCCGGATACAGTGTGTATCCTACCACGTCCCAACTAGTTATATGTATTACTTGTGTACATCTGTGGGATTCTGTGGGCTTACACTTCTTCACATATTCAGTATTACGCCACATGTTTTCCTACCCCCGTGCCTCACCACGCTCGTTGGCCAAAATGCTGCCGGGCTTGTTGTGGATGTCCTGGGAAGCGGCAGCCAAGAGACACATCGGAAAGAATTCGGTCGTGGAAGTATGTTGAAGTCTTTGGGTGAGAATGGGGTACACCCCCAAAAATTATGTTTCAGTCTATTGTTTTAAAAAGGAAACTGATGACGCAACCCGGGCCCACACATTTACCGTTTTTACCCAGTTTTACCTTTTTTTTTGGTGGACACGCAAGCGATCACAGGAGCTTTGAATTGTGAAACATGTTGAAACCACAATGCCATGAGACTTGCCCATTTTTGGTATTGTACAACTATAACCTATTATTCTCTCTCCCTCTCCCTCTCTCTCTATCTCGGGAGATCAGAAGTCAGCTGAAGGCATTTAGATATTACCCTCTGGTTGTGACTAACATAGCCGTGGAAAATCACCATTTTTCAGAACGGTACATCATCTCTCTAGATGGGGCCATGGTTTCCAGTCCGCAAACTGTTAGTTTCCCGCAGGCCAAATCCCATTTCATCCCATTTATTTGATCATTAACCCCATTATATCGCATGAAATCCCTGTTGGTTCATGGAACAACCACCATTTTCCTAGGGAAACCCATGGTTTTCAAACCCTGCGCCATCGCCAACTCCACGTGTCTCTCCACGATCTCGCCGCCTGCACCAAGTCATGCGTGAGTTCGATCCAGTTGGCATCCTCCGATAGGCCGCTGAAGCCACCCTGCACTCCGAAGACGTGGGGTACCTGGTTTTTTTGGCGCCGCTTCATATAGAGATCGACATAGATATGGATAGACATAATATCTATCTAATCAAGCTACCAAGCTATCAATGTACCAATCTACCAACCTATCAATGAAATCAATGAAATCAGTAAAGAATCAATCAATCAACATCTATCTCTCTATCTATCTATCTACCTAGCTAGCTATCTATGTATCTATGTATCTATGTATCTATGTATCTATGTATCTATCCATCTATCTATCGCTATCTATCTATATCTACCTATATCTATCTATATCTATCTATCTCTATCTATCTCTATATCTATCTCTATATCTATCTCTATATCTATCTCTATATCTATCTCTATATCTATCTCTATCTCTATATCTATCTCTATATCTATCTCTATATCTATCTCTATATCTATCTCTATATCTATCTCTATATCTATTCTATATCTATCTCAATATCTAATATCTATCTCTATATCTATCTCTATATCTATCTCTATATCTATCTCTATATCTATCTCTATATCTATCTCTATATCTATCTCTATATCTATCTCTATATCTATCTCTATATCTATCTCTATATCTATCTCTATATCTATCTCTATATCTATCTATCTATCTATATCTATATCCATCTAAATCCATCTATCTATATCTACCTATACCTAACTATATCTATCTATATTTTTCTATATGTATCTATATCTATATCTATCTATCTGTCTATAAGCCTATCTATCTACAGTATCCCTATTTATGTATCTATGTATATATCTATGCCTATCTATGTCTATCTATGTCTATCTATGTCTATCAATGTCTATCTATGCCTATCTATGTCTATCTATGTCTATGTATCTATGTCTATGTATCTGATGTAATCTATCTAATGTAATCCATCTAATTTAATCTAATCTATCAAATCTATCCTATCAATCCTATCTATCTATTTGTTCTATCTATTCTATCTATCTATCGATCTATCTATTCTATTCTATTCTATTCTAATCTAATCTAATCTATCCATCTATCGATCGATCTATCTATCTATATCTCTCTCTATCTATCTATCGATCGATCTATCGATCTATCTATATATCTATCGATCTATCTATCCATCCATCTATCCATCCGTCTATCCGTTGATCTATCCATCTATCTGAGCGTTTTTTAATCTAGCATGAAATAATGTAAATACTGCAAACATATCCAAATATCATAAAACTGGGTATGATTAGATATGCATCTACAACTAGGTGAGCTAATCATCGTGATGAATATTGGTGATAATATGCCGCAGTGTCCCAGTTCTCCATGGATAGCAACGGCAGATGCTCATCCCAGGAGTTTTCGCCGCGCACGCCGTAGGACTTGAGGGTATGGAAAATGCCACCTCGAAGCCGCTGGAGAAACATAGAGATAAGTCGCACATCTATTACCTAATGGTGTTTAATGGTGATTTAATGATGTTTAATGTTGATTTAATGGTGATTTAATGATGGCTAATGATGATTAATGATGGTTAATAATGTCTGGTTGGTGGTTGACCTACCCGAAAAATGATGGAGTGAGTTCGTCAGTTGGGATGATGACATGCCCAACTGAATGGAAAAATAAAATTCATGTTCCAAACCACCATTTCTCCCATTTCCGATATGCGCCGCCTTAGATCTCGAAGGCGACCCCCTTTCAGGTGCCGGACTACTCACATGATGTGAAAACAACCTCAG